AGGGGCCGACCCTGCTATCGACTCGGAGTGGACCGCTCTGTGGGGGGGTACCATGCTGTTGTGGTGGAGCCAGCCCGACTTCTGAGATCTGAGGTTCTCTCGGGCGAGGACGAGGGGTATCCCAGACGACCTCCTAGAGAAAGGATAAACGTATATTCACGAAAAGACCTCTAAAATTTCTTGGCACCTCGCGTAAGGAATAACTGTTGTAGTATACCCTTCTGGTGAACATAGTAAGCGTCACTGACGCATGGGGAACTGGTGCCATAAGCAGCCCAATTCATGTCATACTAGTTTACGCAGAGAGCAATTAGACAGTCTTATTGCGGATTACCGTGCCAGAAGAAACACGAATCAATGGGATGAATAATGCGTAAATAATACTCAGTAGCAGAAATTTTAACGTAACTACTCTCGTCTTTCTTTTCAGATGGCGGCAAGGACGACAGTTTGTTATCTTTTCCGCAATCCTGACGTAGCGGCGGAATGGGCCGATTCCCAAAGGCATGATGAAGAAAGACTAAAGAGAGTAGGGCGAGTCGTCTACAATCCGTACGAATTATACTCAGAGGAGGATGTTCCACGGTTCTAGCATGGCAGTGCGCGAAATCCTCATAGGCGACTCATTTTCAGATCAAGAACCGGACTGGGTATTCTTCACTACGAGTTCGCGCCGCCACTGCTCGATCACGACTTCGCCAGCATGAACTTATTGGTGATGCAACTATATGAGATAAACCCTCGAATGAACGAAATTCCTGAGATGAGGCCGATGTTCGTCCGTTTTGCACTTTGGTGAAACGAACGACAAGGACCTTTCTTTGACATATATCATATAAGGAGAGTACGGACGAATAGGTTCATCATTCTACGAGTTGAACCATTCTCAGAGTATGCTTGGCAAGATGAGGAGAACGAACTCATAGATCGATTATTCAACTGATTGAGTTTTGTTCTGACACGCAGATGCTTGGAGCTCGACGAGACATGACCATCCAGAGGTACCTACTGGTTCGCGATACGCTTGAGGACGATCTCATCAGAGGAGCAGAGCAACTCTTACGAGTTCAAGATGGTTCTCCTACGGAGTGGATCAACTTCATCGCTTTACTCCGAAATGGAGAGGAATTTTTTCCTAGCACTCACGCGGATTTTCAGGCAAACACGGCTCGAACTCCCGAAGAGTTTTATGGATACACATTGTATTTTCACCATGCGAGTAATCTCCAATGTCTTTCCCGAGTCCTTGTGAGTATGAGGATTGCCTCGTCCGGCAGACGCTTCGGCGTCGTCCGGATCCAAGACACAGAGACCCGATATTTATTTGGACTTAATTGGCCTAAGCGAGTCATAGTTTGGAGGTTAGCTTCATGGATGACCTCTTTCTATGATACTCAAGTTATTAGAGTCATGCGAGGTGGACGGAGGACTACCCTAACATTCAATGACAGCGAGCTTGCGCGATTGGATTCATTGGAGGCTCAGGCGCACGGAGGACGGCAGATCTACTTGAGATAGACACCGTCTTCTGATTTCCAACTTGGATTTCAGATAACACTTACACATTGACTTGTCTTGTTGAGGAAGTCATATGACTCATGACTTCACGAGGTAATCATAAAAAAAAAAAAAAAAACAAAAAAAAACAACATTATGTAGATAGGACCGCCAGATGGATAGTATTTGGATTACCCCGATGATGACACTATCGTGCTTATGCATTGAGGGGTAACCACATGCGTAAAAACGCATGTCAGAAGCAAGAAGGAGACGATAGCGAAGATGGGGTCGAATCGAGAGTTCAAACTTCGATCAGGAACCAAATCACTTGTTGATCTGCATGGTAGCAGTGATATTTACTTACAGAAGCTAACCATGACAAGCTTCTGTAGGCACGATGTTGTCCTAAATTCAGACTTGGAAAAGTCTGACTTTAGCTTAAAAGACTTGAAAAAGGAAAATCATGCGTTGACCATATCGACGACGAGTAGAAAAGCACGATAGCATGATCCTTTTCGTCAGACTAAACCTATTAAGGAATTGTTGCTATAATTGTTGAACTATTTGATTTAAAAGAGTGACTTCATATGTATTATTTTTGATAATTTCGTCTGAATAAATTACATATATATCTATATTTGTATGGGAAAATTGTGTGCAAGGGACTAGGGTTAAGATGTTGTTGGTTTCTATACTTGATTGAAACCGCTCTAGTCGACTAGAGTACGTTTCGTCCTTAGGAGATCAGCGCCTTAAGTGATGAACGACGTCCGGGTTCAACAGGCGTTTAAATCTCGTATATCTATACTAAAGCGTGCGAGCAAACGCCCTCGGCTGACCCACCTCTGCAACTGCACGTAAAAACTTTCGCATGTGGGTCAGTAGCTCGGTAGGGATACGCCCCTAAGGGTGGTGACAGCCCCTTAGGGAAACAAGTTTATGCCCCACAGGAACCTATCCTGTCATTGGGGACCACGGGATGTATAAGCTGGCGCACCCGGCTAGAGTGACGAAGGGACGACGGGACCGCACACCGCCTCGGCGGCTCGTGGAAACCATTTCACGTCGTCCCCAAGTTGTCTCCGTGTTTTGTTTTATTGTGTAACTCGTGCGTGGCATGGTCGGAAGAGTCCTCGCTCGCGCGGGGGCCGATACGCTCAACAGGTGGCGCCGTTGCCGGGGATAACAACAAACTACCATTGTCCCTCGTGGAACGACACTCGGGTAAGAAAATGTTAAGAAATTATAATCTATGTTTGTTTTTGTTTTGTTTGCAAATGAAAAACCAGGAAAAACTTTACAGGGATGAAAAAACAAGGATTAGTTAATTGAAATATGAACATGTGATGTTATTATTCTTGTGTTACTCAAAATGTCTGACAGAAAAGGCGACGAGAGGAGGAACGACATCAGAGAATTGGCCAAGGCAATCCAAGAATCGGCCACACAAAGAGATCAACTTCCAAAGGTGGAAGTACCTTTGTTCGATGACAACAATGCCTCTGGCTGGGCAGAAAAATTTAAGCAACTAGCAAATTGTCGACAATGGACTGACGCGAAAATGCTGCAGAAAGTAAAACGCTACAGTAAGGAAGAAATCGGAAGATTGGACCGAGTGCAAGGAAAAATTGTTGGGCAAATTTCAGTTGGGGGATCAACTACTAGATTTGGCCGACCTCTGAAAAATTGTCCGGCGAGGGTTCGGATCAGCTAGACAATTCTTGACAAAGTTTGAACGAGTCGCACGATTGATACCTGATTTGCCTGATAAAGACAAATACCTTATCTTTCTGGATAACTTATCAGAAGTTGAGCAAAGAGAGCTGATGAAGGATATGCAGGGGAAATATGATTGGCCAAAAATAAAAGCCAATCTTTTGACATGGAGTTTTGATCAAATGCTTTATCGATTGTTGAAGCAATGGAAGGAGGATCGAGAAAAGGAGGATGTTAGTAAGGATAAGGGTCGTGAAGTCTTCAAAACCCTGTCAAAAATGAAGGAAATGATGATTGATATGCGTGGAGAACGTTTGAAGCTGAAGTTAATGATGGTTAAGGCTAAAGGAAGAGGGAAAGAGGTTTCTCTTGAACGAAGTAGCGAAACCTCCTAATGAACACACCTGGACGTGAATAGGTCTTTGAAAAAGGACCTTGCTATCAGCATACATTGGGGTGTAGAACAGACCACGTTCCTGGGTGTTGAGTGTGGGTCGTATAGCGCTTCTATCGTTGTTCTGCGCATGCGCGCTCGAGCCATGCAACATTTTTTTTTGTCCATAGAGCCTTCTTTTTGATGCCATGTCAGTCGCCCTCTGATACGTATACCCTCCCAGCGTTGTGAGGCAAAGGTTTGGAGACGCTGTTGTAGGATTTGTATCTTTGAGTATTCGCCTAGTTGTGTGTGTCGGTTGTTGTCTGCGTCTTGTTGCTCAAGTTGATGAAGTTGTAATGCTGATGGTTTCTGGCTGCTAGTTGTTTGGAATACTCTTGACATTTCTTTCCTAGGTAGAAGAGGTCATTATCTAACCATTTTATTCCTTGCGGGATGTGTTGTTTCTGTGTGTGCCAAAATTTCCAGCAATATTTGATGTAATTCTGGAATGCCTCGTGTCGTAAGATCGAAACGTTGAGTTTGTAGAATCCGAGCCCATGATCAGGTTTCTTTCGGAATGACAAGGTCACTGTGCACATTTTGTGATCGAGTCATGGATATGGGCTGACCGGCAGTATTGCTGCGAGCAGCATAGCCCCTGCCAGATCCTTTGAGAGCAAGATCAGATCAATTCTGGATCGGGTCTAGTTGTCGGTCCCAGTCTTGCGTAGGCACGAAAAGAAGCGCGTGTCCGGGTTAAGTCTTCGGAAGGAGTCGAAGACGTTTAGGGAGAGACCTAGATCCCTTATCATCCGCTCGTCCTCCTCCACATACGCCGGGGCTGGGGAGGGAATTCTCCATCTGTCCATCCAGCGGTCCGGGGCTGCGTTATAGTCACCTGCTATGATAACCGGGACACCGCCTGGGATCTGTGTTTTAATCTTCTAATAAAAGGCTCTTCTTTCGCTCACCGTGTTAAGGGCGTAGATACACAAAATGCATACAATCTCCAACTCCAGGGTGACTAAAACCGACACCCATCTGCCCCCTTTTTGATCAACGGCCCAATGCACCGGGTCTGCTCGGGATTCGGGAGGGAACCAGATGGCCACCCCCGCACTCCCGAGTCTAGGAGCATGGGCTCCAAATGCTTTACATGGCCAAATCATTTTGTGGATACGATTATGCTCTGGGGAATCTGTCAGGTGAGTCTCCTGGATACACACGACGTCCGGCCAGTCCCTGCCCCCCACCCCTCTCATCAGATCCCATATTGCGTTTTTCTTTTCTGCTTTGCACGAAGCTAGGCTGTTTACATTTAGAGACCGCAGGTCGAGATCCGCTGCCCCGCTGCCCTTCGGCATTGATTCCAAACACGGTCCTTACCGTATACCGCTTTGACCGAGTCCATTGCTGTGGCTGTTTGTTAGTCACAGTCTAGTCCACGACAGCTGATCCCAAGCCTAGTCCGCGGTCCCTGCTCAGAGACCCAGCCTGAGAAGGGCACACAAGTGCCTCTGGACGTCCTGTTCTGTCCATGCCTCGCTGGGCCTGGTCTTAACTGTTTGCATATCCAGCAGTTGGGAATGGGTGTGACATCTTAGGCCTGCGTCCTTGGCCGGGTCATAGCGGATGAGGGTATCTCTTTGAGAGGCTCTATTAGGGTCTGTTATCAGGGGGGCAGTGGCCTGTGGTCCGGGGAGCATAAACTCTGCAACGTGCGTGTCCAGCTGCAGTTGTAAGATGCCGGCTGCTGCCTCAAATCGGTAGTGTCCTACCCAAAAAGAGGACCAACCTTGCAGTGTGACTCCTTTCATTTTGCCATTATCAACCGGTGTCAGGCCAACCTCCCATTTCCCGTTTTTCTTTCGGACCGAGAGTAGTAGCATCGCCTCTTGCGACAGCGGTCCCATGTCCAGGCCCATCTCCATCAGATGCCTTAATTTCATTCTTCTCGCAAGATCTAGTGGTGTGTCCTCGTCTAGGTCCAGGGGGGCTGGGTCCGGTGGCGGGACTGGTGGCTGAAGGGTCGGCAGGGGCGGGACTTCCCCCATCTGATTGCTTACCGTTGTCTCCTCTGCTGCTGCCGGGTGCGGTGCAAGGGGCGGCTGAAACCTTGCTAACACAATGGAGGCCACTCTGTTCCACGCTTCCGTCCACTTAACACCGGATTGCAGACCGTTTTCCAGGACGTTTTTGAGCGCAGCGCTCGTGTCCAACATGGGGAACAGATCCAGGTACGTTCTGTCCCAGAAGTCGTCTGTGAGAGGGCCATATTTCGCCTTTAAGTTGGTCATTAACCAGTCTGCAATATCGACCAGTTTCTGCTCCACCGGCAGGTGCTGCGGCGGGGCCCAAGGTGTGACATCTTAGGCCTGCATCCTTGACCGGGTCATAGCGGATGAGGGTATCTCTTTGTGAGGCTCTATTAGGGTCTGTTATCAGGGGGGGCAGTGGCCTGTGCTCCGGGGGGCATAAACTATGCAACGTGCGTGTCCAGCTGCATTTGTAAGATGTCGGCTGCTGCCTCAGATCGGCAGTGTCCTACCCAAAAAGAGGACCAACCTTGCGGTGTGACTCCTTTCATTTTGCCATTATCAACCGGTGTCAGGCCAACCTCCCATTTCCCGTTCTTCTTTCGGACCGGGAGTAGCAGCATCGCCTCTTGCGACAGCGGTCCCGTGTCCAGGCCCATCTCCATCAGATGCCTTAATTTCCTTCTTCTCACAAGATCCAGTGGTGTGTCCTCGTCTAGGTCCGGGGGGGCCGGGTCCGGTGGCGGGACTGGTGGCTGAAGGGTCGGCAGGGGCGGGACTTCCCCCATCTGATTGCTCACCGTTGTCTCCTCTGCTGCTGTTGGGTGCGGTGCAAGGGGCGGCTGGAACCTTGCTAACACAATGGAGGCCACTCTGTTCCACGCTTCCGTCCACTTGACACTGGATTGCAGACCGTTTTCCAGGACGTTTTTGAGCGCGGCGCTCGCGTCCAACATGGGGAACAGACCCAGGTACGTTCTGTCCCAGAAGTCGTCTGTGAGAGGGCCATATTTCGCCTTTAAGTTGATTATTAACCAGTCTGCAATATCGACCAGTTTCTGCTCCACCGTCAGGTGCTGCGGCGGGGTCCCTTCCTCTTCTCCCTCCTCACATGGTAGACCTTCTGGCACTGCGCAGGCATTTTCCGGGAGCGGGTCAACCTCCATCGGTTCAGGGTCAAACGCAGGTTGGAAGGGGTCAATTTTCACCATCTGGTTCTCCTGCAGATCCCCTTCCTGCGCCTGATCCTCCTCCCCTGGTCCCTTACACCCAGCTGCCACCTCCATTCCATCGCCTTCCGCTTGCTCCCCCACCCCTCTCTCTCCGCACCTCAAACCCTGCTGCTCAGTGGGGCTGCAGTATGTTGTCTCAATCTGCATTGCCATAACCTCTGCACCCTGCAGCCCCACCGTGTCATCCGGCCCCTGTCGCTCCGCCCCGTTTCCCACCCCCTGTTCAATTTTGAACTGCTTTTTTTGAAGTGCTGCAGAAATCCATGCCGGGAGAAAGGAGGTTGGCCTTGTTGCAAGCCTCGTTTTCCTAATGCATTTTTCTGGCAGGCCTAAGGAATCTGAACGGTCGCAATGCTTGATTTACCCCGCACCACCACCTTTTTGGCCGAACCTCTCCGCAGCTCTGTGTTGACCGGCATTTCCCCCCGCCAAAGGGCTGGGCCAGCAACTGGTGCCCCACACCTTTCTCTTTTTCCACTATGGTTGTCAGAATTGCTTGGAACCACCAGTACTTTTCCCTGGCAAATTGTCCCAACGGCCATAAACACACCACAACCTTCAGGGATCAGGGCTCCTCGTTCTGCTGCTATCTGTTGGATTTGCCACCACATACCGTGCCCACCTCAGTTCTCCTCCCATTTCTGCTTCATTTGGTTATCAAACATACTGCCAAGTGCTGCCCTAACATTTCTTCCCCTGCCCCTCTGCTCCACTGACGATTTTGCCTGCCACGCCCTCTTATGCAGTTGCTGAACGTTATTCACACATTCCACTTGCAATCTGGCAGCCCGTGTTGCACATTGTATGCAGTCATGCCTTAAATCACCACCATCAGAGACATTTGTGCCGGATTCCCAGGCTGTCCTAACTGGGCGAGCTGCGCATCGTGCCAATCACATTATCACGCCTTAAACCGCAGCCATCAGAGACATCACTTCAGGCCCTCCTAAGTGGGTGCGAACGTCTCTGATAGTGATGGTCTGCCTCTGATGAAATCCATAAGCCATAGGGACTGGCATGGTGAGGGGAAGGCTGCAGCAGTGCGCAAAATTTTGACTGCTGATTTGTTGGAAAACATACGACAAAATAGAAAACCGATTCTGGATGGCAGAAAATACCCGGAAAATGGCAACAAAAGTATGCATATTTTTCTTCCCTGCTGGACCCCGTACGCCCAAAACGTCTTTCAGACTCAATGCTCTAGGCCCAGGAAAATCAATAGGTTCTGATGATCACTGCCCGATACCCAGTACTATATCAGCTGAAAAAGCAGCAACAGCATGATTCTGATTTTTGTTTTCTGTCGCATGATGCTGCCACATTCCAGCGCCAGCCGTCAGAGGCCACAGCCCACAGTTAACTTTATTTTGCAGTCATCTTACGGACTTCCCCGGAATAGAATGGCCAGTCACTACAGCCATATTGGGACAATTTTCAGTCCAGATACAGTGAAGATATTGATCAGATGTTCAGCTGCTTCTCAAGAGCACTGTCTCACGAGGATGCTTACGATTTGCCATCATTAGAGAACATCATCCACCGTTCCTATACAGAATACAAAGGGACTGAGGTGCAGCATATGACAGAGGTATATGACTGGAAAGCTTATGTTGAAGGGTATCTGGTCAGTTTGAAATTGATACACTGATAATGACCGGACGGTCTATTTGGGTGACGACGGTAGTCCTCCTCTCTGGCTCTCTGGGCCTATACAGAATGCTGGTCCAGCTGTGTGGCTGACGGAGGCGAACCGGGCAATGGTGGTTTACAAATTAGAAAAGGAAAAAAAACTAAGCCAGCCTGTGATGGATGAAGTGTCTTCTTTTCCTGAGTTTGTCACTGAAAGATTTAACGATGGTCATCATCATGCAATGCAGATTCTCAGCGATAGAGGCTTGGATTAAAAAAGTAAATTAATTATAAAAGGGCCGCCCCATACAAAATTCCACATGTGCCTCCTCATGCCAGACAGAATGGACCTGCCTGTGCTCAAACCGCCGCCACGTGCCTCCGAGTTTGTGAAAAACAGTTGAAACTCCCTCCCTCCAAGTTTCAAAGAGAGTAACAAATATTCAGATCTCAGATGCAAGAACCTGCTATCCATGTACGTTAGCTAGCTTAGAATCCTTAGATACAATAAAAGATAATCCACACTTCCAACCCCACACGCTTCTAACTCCACACGATTCCAAACCCACATGATTCTAACCCCACATGCATCAAACTCCACATGCTTCCAATTCCGGACACTTCCACGAGCACAGGTCTGGGTTGGACTGAAGGACGGGACCCCCTTGCTGTCCACCATCTAACTCCGCCTTCTCATCACATCGCAAGATGTGGTGCGGAACCCAAGCTCCTGTAGGTGAGAAGCAGAGACATTCAG